TTCAGACATTGCTGTGTGATGTGTAGAAGCTACGTGTTCTGGTGTGTACAAATGGCTCGCCGAAGACAACCTACATAGATCCACGGATGTGTATAACCTGATTTCTGGTTCTGAACCCCCACTAGTTTGAGGGCGTGCAAACAGCCGAATTGAAGCTTCTGACATGTTTTCATGTTCTGTTTCATGAAATCTCATTTCTGGGGTGTTAACGGGTTTTTGGGATTCCTGGCCGTCTGGGCGTCGGACTCACGAGGCTCCGGGAGTTGGTTGATAAGGGATGCGAAATGCTGAGGTGTCGGGGGCTTTCTGGGCTGATGGTCGCCTGGTCTGCGGACGCACGAGGAGCTGGGGCTTTTGTATTTCTTTTTGTTCCATTGTGAATCTAGGGGGTCTGGGATTTTCGGGATTCCTGGCCGCCTGGGATGCGGACTCACGAGGCCGTGGGGATTTCTTTTTCTTGGTGGGAGCAAGGGCGCGCGCTGAGTTCTGATATGGAGTCGAAATGTCTAGGATGTTTTTAGCTCTTGCAGATCTGATTACGGGTGGTCGGGGGGTTCCGGAATGCTTGGTCGCCTCAACTGCGGACTCACGAGGCCAGGTGATGTCAACGCGGTCCTCCTCGAGTTCGACGAGGACTCGCACAGGCGGTCGGTCGAGCACCTCCGCACGGCGCGGGGGAGGGGTGAGCGTCTGCGCCAAGGCGCGAATGAGAGAGCCACATCTTGAAAACCGCCCGCTCTCCATGTATGACACTGTTGCCAACCTTGAAGCTCCAGGATCACAAATGGTGAGGAAGTCGCAGGCGACACGCCTGGCCCGCCCTTCCGACTGGCCTCGGGGTGCGACATGGAGAATTGATGCAGAAGGACAAGGACTTAGATGGTGAGGAGCAGGAGGAGGAGGAGGACGAGGACGAGGAGGAGGAGGAGGAGGAGGAGGAGGAGGAGGAGGAGGAGGAGGAGTATTGGGAACACTGGGGCAACCGACGACGAACGTCGACTGCCCTGCTCGCCTCGCGCCCCTCGCGCGTGGCCTGGCACTCGGGGCGAGGCTGTCTGGACGAGCGTACGGGTTTCGCGTCGTGCCGACCGGCTGCGACCCCGCCGCGGGCGTTCAGGGTTGAACGCCGCCAGTGGAACATAGTGGGCCTGCACATGGAACGATCGGGCGATCGAGGAGCTGCCGATCAGCCAAGGCTGAACGGGCCACGGGGTGTCAGAAGCCAACGCCGGGATCGACACGAGCAGGAAGAGGGAGGAGGAGGGAGGGAGGAGGAGGAGGAGGAGGACGAGGACGAGGACGAGGAGGAGGAGGAAGAGGATGAGGAGGAGGACGAGGACGAGAAGGAGGCGGAGACGGAGGCGGAGGCGGAGGCGGAGGAGGAGGAGGAGGAGGAGGAGGAGGAGGAGGAAAAGCAGGAGGAGGAAAAGCAGGAGGAGGAGGAGAAGGAGGAGCAGGAGCAGGAGCAGGAGCAGGAGCAGGAGGAGGAGGAGCAGGAGGAGGAGGAGGCGGAGGGAGGAGGAGTGCCTCGAGGACGTCAGGAAGCCACCGACCCTGCAAGAGGGGGCGAACTCTGCCGACGCAGTCGCTGCAGCGCGGCACGGGCGACGAGCGGAGGCGGGGGCTCCGCTTTGCTGTGGCCCCGCGGCGGCACACGCGGCCGGGCGTTTTTTCCGGCCTCGGAGAGCGGCCGCTGCTCGAGGCCTTCCTCCTCCTCCTCCTCCTCTTCCTCCTCCTCCTCCTCCCTCCTCCTCCTCCTCCTCCTCCTCCTCCTCCTCCTCGTCCTCGTCCTCGTCCTCCTCCTCCTCCTCCTCCTGCCGACACGGCCACTGTCGCGAAACGGTCGAGCAGAGGCGGGCACCTCTCGCTTAGGCCCCCGCGGCGACGCGCCTGGCCGGGCGCTCTTCCGGCCTCGAAGAGCGGCCGTTGCTCGAGGCAATCTTGCCCAACACAGGTCATGAGAATGGACGGCTGCGCATCCGGACAAGTTCTCTTAAAAATCGGGGGCGGCAAAGAGGGGGGTGATGACTAGGGGGGGGGGGGATATCATGGCGGGGGCCATGATATTTCCCCAGATTTCATGGCGCCTCTTCTTATTTCATTACGTCCCTGCCCCCCCGCTGGGCCGCGCACATGCCGCCGGTCATGAATTGCACCCCCCCTCTTGGACACCCCCCTCTTGGCCGCTCCCGAATCCGGATAAGTTCTCTTCAAAAGAGCAGCGAGATTGATTGAAACGGAGGGCGATGTTTTGTGCATTCGTGCTGCCGAGCAATACAAGACAAAGCGGCATTTAGGAAACGCACAAACCGGTTGATTACATGCGAAAACCGAATGTTCTGAATTTGGGCCGTGTTTTTTTGGGGGGCGAAGAGAACTATGCAAATGCACCTATCCTTGCAAGGCCCATCCTTGACCCAGGATCGGTGCATATACCGTCTTGGCCAAGGTCGGAGGGCGTATGCACAGCTCTCTTTCCTTAAGTTTTGCGCCGAATCCGGAAGCCTATCACTACGGTGGCTCGGGTTTGTCGATCTTCGCCGAGCGGAGCTCCTGCTCGCGGAGGGCCGCCTCCGCCTCGGCCAGGGCGCCGTCTGCGGAGTCGCCGAGGGACTCCGCCTCCTCCTGGCCAGCGCCCTCGCCGGGCTGGGGCTCGCCGCGGAGCACGAGGGGAGCGGCCATTGCCTCCGGGCTGTGTCGCATGCCGTCGAAGTCTGCCTCGTGGACAAGTTGGTGCTTACCCAGCCAGTCGAGCAGTGGCGAAGCGTCCTGGCTCGCCGATAGGCCCACCAACGAATGCTCCAAGAACCTTTCTGGACATTTTGAACATTTCTGGCCGAGTCTGCCTGGGTTGAACACAGCGGGCTTATGTTCTAAGAACATTGCTTGTGTTATATTAGAGCATCGCTGGGCTCGAAGAAGAAAGAACATGCCGTGGTAGGCATATACAGACGCTGGGTCGGTCGGTCCGTGCTGAAGCCAGTCGAAGGTGTCGTGCACCGTCTTCTCTACATATTCTCCTGGTCGCCGTCATCGAGCGCGACCCTCTTGCGCCACCTGCCGCAGGGTGTTCCGCAGAGCGACGCAGGACTTCTCGAGGCCGTGCTTGCCCTCCTACGGCGCCTGGGTGAAGCAGAGGCACGCGAGGCTGCTCTTCTTCACCGCGCGCTCGGCCTCGATCTCCTGCTGCTTCGCGCCGTCCCCTGCCTCGGCCTCGTCCTCCAGGCCCGTGCGGCAGAGGCCCTCGAGGCCGTGCGTCTCCTGGAGCGGGTCCTCCAGTTCCGCTCCGTCGCAGAAGCACCCCAGATTTCGTAGTAAAGGGAGGGGGGTCTCCTTTCGGGGGGGGGGTCTCTTCCAGGCTATCTTGGCGGGCCTGGGGGGTCTGGGGACGAGGTTTTGGAGGGTTCTCCCACGGGGGAGGTCTGAAATGGCTTGTCTTGGAGGGTCCAGACCCCCTCCCTTTTATTACGAAATCTGGAGTACCCGAGGCCGCTCCTCTCCTCGAACGCCGCGCTGGATGCATCGGCCGCCTCCGAGGCCGCCGACGACGTCGCCGCCGCAGGCGACGCCGAAGCCCTGCACCTCGGCCGTGCCGCGCACCTGCTGGACGCGAGCTCGGTCCTCGACGGCGGGGCCGCTCGAAGGGGCGCACCGGTCCTGCACATGCACGCCCAGCGGGCCCCATTGGGATGACCGTGGGGGTTCCTAAGTGGATAGGGGGTTACAAGTGGATGCCAAGGTGGGTTATATCTGGCCCAACCTGGCTTATAAGTGGGTTACAAGTGCCCTAAGTAGCTTGGGGGGGTTAACGATCTGGGCTAGGTGGGCTACGCCCACTTAGCCGAGTATTATCGACCCCTCCTAAGCTACTTAGGGCACTTGTAACCCACTGATAAGCCAGGTTGGGCCAGATATAACCCACCTTGGCATCCACTTGTAACCCCCCTATCCACTTAGGAACCCCCACGGTCATCCCAGTGCAGCGGGCCCCAGCCCGTCGGCCGCGGGCCTCCCGCGCGTCTGCGGGTCTGCAGCAGCGCCTTGCGCTCCCGCGCTGTCCCGAGGGCTCTGGGCTCCAGGGCGGCACCGAGGAGGGGAGCCGAGCGCGCAGGGTGCGAGGGCCGCGGGGTCGTGGCCAGCGGGGAGGGCTGCTCCCACCGCCGACCTGCAGCATTAGTGGTCCGTCTCCACCTCTGCGGTGCAGAAGCACGGGGACCCCTGCCGTTGGGGCTGCGGCGCATCGGAAGCGCCCTGCATGCTCCTCATCTCCTGTGCCGCGGCGTCACCTCCTCTTCGCGCCGCGGTGCTCTCGCCGTGGAGCGCGCGCGATCTGGAGGAGCCACTCGACCAACGGATCGGACGCCGTCGAGGTGCAGAATTGCGCCCGCGGAGCTCCGCAGGCCGCCCGCACGATGAGCTTCGCCTCGGCACCATTCACATGTTCTACCCTGTCTTGCGGGTCTCCGTGGACTCCGTCCTCAGGCCGCAGGGGCCATGGCGTCGGCCCGCGTGGACGTGCTGGGGACCTATAGGGGCGCGCGAGGTCAGGCAGAGGTGCCTGCTCCGTTGAACAAAGTGGCTCTAGCCAAAGTGGCTACAGAGGAGGAGGAGGAGGAGGAGGAGGAGGAGGAGGAGGAGGAGGAGGAGGAAAGAGGGGCATCTTGGCGCCCAGGGCCTTCTTTTTGAGCGTCTTGAGGAGGAGAAGTAGGAGCATGAGGAGGAAAAGGAGCGGGGGAGGAGGAGGGGGAGGAGGAGGAGGAGGAGGAGGAGGAGGAGGAGCATGAGGAGGAGGAGGAGGAGGAGGAGGAGGAGGAGGAGGAGGAGGAGGAGGAGGAGGAGGGAGAGGAGGAGGAGGAGGAGGAAGAGGAGGAGGGGGAGGAAGAGGAGGAGGAGGAGGAGGAGGAGGAGGAGGACGAGGAGGAGGCCCCCGAAGATGCAACATGAGCCTCCGTCGGTCGCTGGGCCGCCGCCTGTGCCCCGCCCCCAGCGCTGGGCGCGAGGCTGGCTCCGTGCCTTACATCTCCGGCGTCACGCTGGGGTACCAGTCCTCTGAGCGGCTGGCGGCCCTGGAGGCGCGATGGGAGAGGGTGGGGGGGGGGGGCGTCCGCCTTGGCGGGGAGGAGGGGGGGGAGGTGGAGGAGGTGGAGGAGGGACGGAGGAGGAGGAGGAGGAGGAGGAGGGAGGGAAGGAGGAGAACGAGGAGGAGGAGAACGAGGAGGAGGAGAACGAGGAGGAGGAGGAAGAGGAGGAGGGGCGGTGGGGGAGGAGGAGGATGGGCAGGCTCGGAGGAGGAGGAGGAGGAGGAAGTGTGGCGCGGCGTGGTGTTGGGGCTGTTCGGTGCCTCCCTCTTCGCGAGCCACCCAGGCAGACGCAGCTCGCCACCGCTCAACGCACGCTGTGGTTTTCGACCGCGACGCGCCTCTTTTGCCGGGGAAACGTACGGCCCCAGGGGGAGGCCGAGGAGGAGGAGGAGGAGGAGGAGGAGGAGGAGGAGGAGGAGGAGGGGGGTCGTCGTCGTCGTAGTCGTTGCGCCAGGGGGAGGGGCGGCGACGGGTGCGCCGGAACTCGGGCAGTTGCTGGCCGGAGGGGCGCCCGCCGCGCGAGCAGACCCGGGGCCTCGCAGCGCCCCCGCGGAGGAGGGCCCCCGGCTCGACCGAGCTAGGGTCAAGTCGGGCCTGTCCCTCGGCAGGAGGAGCGCTCCAAAAGTTGTGACAAAACTTGGCATCGCTCGGACCTGTGCATTTTTCCTTCGGCGAGGACCATCGGGGAGCATCCTTGATCATTTGGCGAAAAAAAAACCACGCACGAAACCGAAAAAAACACAGTGAACGGAGTCTGGGGGCGATGTCTTTCGGCTAGTCTTGGCTGTGTTTGAGTCTTGTGGTGCTGCTTTTAGTCAAGGGAGGAACAACCGCCCAGACCAGACAATCGGCGTTTACTAAAAACGGCTCCAGGCGTTTACTAAACGGCCCTGTCCTGGTTGATTCCTTCTTTGGGTGCGTTTGCTAAACGGCTTCGCGTGCCGGGGTGGTCATTGTCGGGGTGGATCTTTTCTGCCCTCCATTCAGAGTTTCCCTTCCCGGGCCCGCCTGTGGGAGGACGTGCCCGACCGAAGGCTGGGGCGCGCGGCGCGCGGCCTTCCTGCGGAGGAGGGCGAGGTCCTGGCGCCCGCCAGGGGCGCCGCAGCCCCGGGCCCCGGGCGGCCGCGGATCGGGGAGCGACGAGAGCCAACGCGTGGAACAAAATATCAAGGCGGGTTTTTTCGCAAGGTTCGGCCCCCAGGGGTCCTCGCCGGGCCTCGGGGCCCGTCAAGAAGCGACTCGGGATGAGAAGCCGGTCTCGGGGAATGGGTGTCGAGACTTCCAGGGTGCCCGCATGGAGCAAAATCACGACATCGGATCTCTGGGATGTCATAATTCACCACGACGTCGGGGAGACGCAGGACTCGAGTGCGCCGGAACTTGGGTCAGCCGATGCTCTTCGACGGGCACGCCGTGAAGTTTAAGGGTCCAGTGTTCGTGAAATATCTGCAACAAGAACTCGCGTCAAGTTTCAGGCTTGGTCTCATCATTTTTCACGAGAACCCCGTCAGACTGGCCCGAGTCCCCCGAACCCGAGTCTTACGTCTCCCCGATCTTGCCGCGGCGACCACATATTGGATCATTTGAGAACCTGGCGGCTGTTCGAGGGACCTGCTGGGCGATGGTGCGGCCTCGTGGCAGCATCCTGAGATATCCAGGGGGGGTTCTCTAGACAGTCCTGCAGAGAAGGAGGTGGAGGAGGAGAAGCAGGAGGATGAGCAGGAGGAGAAGGAGCATGAGGAGGAGAGAGGAGCCGGTAGAGGCCGAGGAGTAGGAGAAGGAGGAGGAGGAGGAGGAGGAGGAGGAGGAGGAGGAGGAGGAGAAGAAGGCCGAGAAGGCGGCGGCAGCGCCGCTGCGAGTTGAGCAGGAGGTGGGTGAGCATTCCAGCGCGCGCGGGCGCCGACTGGTTTCCCCAGGGACCCCCTCGGACTCTGGACCCCTTGTGGACGTGAGGACGGAGCAGGAGCAACGAGGTAAGGGTGCGCCTCGGGGAAACGGGATGGAAAAACGAGGAGGAGCAGGAGGAGGAGGAGGCGGAGGAGGAGGGGCAGAGGAGGAGGAGGAGGCGGATGAGGAGGAGGAGGCGGAGGAGGAGGGGGAAGAGGAGGAGGAGGAGGAGGAGAGGAGGAGGAGGAGAGGAGGAGGAGGAGGAGGAGGAGGAGGAGGGAGGAGCAGGAGCAGGAGCAGGAGCAGGAGGATGACGAGGAGGACGACCAGCACCAGGAGCACAAAAGGAGCACCAGGAAACACAGCAGGAGCAGCAGCCACGGTGGGTGGAGAGGGCGCGCCTGCCGCCGCCCCGGGCGGGCGCGGGAGGAGCTGTGCGCGTGGTCCGGCGGCCTGGCTTTCAACATCGCGGAGCCGTGCCTGGCCGCGGGACGACGTCGACGACGACGACGACGACGACGACGCGCAGCACCAGACGCCGCGTACAGCGTGCAGGAACTGCGAGTTTGTCTTGCGGGTGCGAGCTTTGTCCGCCGACACTGGCGGCTTTGCTTGCAAATTCGCCCCGTACCGCCACCCGGACGCCGCTTTCGCTCCTTGACCGTTGCCTTGGAGCCGCCGACCAACAAAAACAGCGTGCAGGGGTGTCGAAGAGCACGAGTGCCCATCCGTCGTTGAAAGTGAGCCGGCCACCACGACAACGACGACGACGACGACTGTAACTACCACGACGATGACGACGACGACGACGACCACGACCTCGACCACGACGACGACGACGACGACGACGACCAAGCGTCGTCGTCGTTGTCGTCATCGTTGTCGTTCGGATAAGGTCTCAATCTACTATATAGCCGCCTTCCTACTTCAAGGGCTGAGTGGTCTTCCCTTTTTTTCGTCCGCCCTTCGGGGGGCGGATGGAGACCCAATCCGTTTCCAACGCCTCCCTTCCTTCATGTGTCTTCCCATTTCTTCCGACCCACGGGTACGGCATAAACAAACATCAGGAGGGAAAGAAACACACAGACACAATTAATCGTCGACTCCCAGGAAAATATGCAAAAATATGGGAAGTGGGGGGGAAGACAAAAAACGTAAAAATATGAGAAAATATGGGGGACCTTTTTATTTGTGTGTATTTATTTGTGTGTCCTGGGGCCCCTTCAAAACATCTGGGGTCCGCGCGTATTGCTTGGATTTGCGTTGCCCCCCCCCCCCCCCCCCGGCGGCGCCTCCAGCGCCGCCCACGGCGCGCTGCGCTCGCCAGGGAGGGGGTCCAGCGCAGATCCAAGAGTCGCCGAGCCCGTTCCGCTGCTCGCGAAATGCCGCTTCACAACTGTCCGACAAAAAACGCCAGCGCATGTCTGCCTCGATGTAATTCATATCGCATATTCCCCGCGGCGGATCCAGGCCACTTGCAAGCAGCTGCTCTGCAGGTAGCGGAACGCGCTCGCCTGAAGAAGTCCGTGCGGACCGTCGAAAGCTTATGTGCAGTTGTTATTTCCTCTACTTAGGGGCGGGGGGAGCTTGCGTCAACGGCGTTCAAGAGGGCGTGTACGGGCCAGCGTGTGTGTGTGTGTGTGGACATCACGGCCGCCGTGGGCATGACATGCCCAATTATTTCACGTTCCCTCGTTTATGTTGTCTGATTATTATGTTTAAGTGGTTAGCAGTAGTCGTCTGATTCTGCTCCTAGTATTAATGTTTCCATGATTTGTATTGTTAGGATTCGTGCTATGACCATGATTAGTATCATTGTTGAAGCTTCGCATATCCCCTCCAGTGCATCCAGAAACGATGCCCAGTAGAGTTGTCGTGTTCAGGGAAGTGAGGGTGCTTGCAGAAGATCAATTGGCGGGGGAAGCCGTCCGATACCCCGAGGGGGGGAGGATGGTGGAGGAGAAGGAGGAGGAGAAGAAGGAGGAGGAGGAGGAAGGCGAAGAGGAAGGGGGAAAAGACAGTGGACAAGGAGGAGGAGGAGGGGGAGGAGGAGGAGGAGACGGGGCATCTTGGCGAGCCCAGGGCCTTCTTTGAGCGTCTTGAGTGCCTCGGGCATCATCTTGAGGCCTCTTGGTGGTCTCTTGGCAGCCTCTTGGGCGGGGGGCGTCTTGGAGGCCACTTCTGCCGTCTGGAGGCTATCTTGGGCGTGTTGGACCGATCGTTCGGTGATCTGTGGCCCTCTTCGACCGTCTTGGGAACCCCTGGGGCACTCTTGGCCCGTCTTAGGGCTTTTGCGAGCTCTGGCACCCCCCCGGGGGATGGTGTTCTGACCCCAGACCCCTCTCACTGCCCCCCCCTCCAGAGACCCCTCCCCTCCCGGACCCACCCCCCGCAGGGGAGGCGTCAAAGGGAAGGACTTCCCTTCGACTTGACTACGACGTCCTTAAATTTGTTTGTTCCTTAGTTTCCTCGGGACTGACTGCAAGGACGCGACACCAGCGGCGACGACGACGATTCAAGCGGAAAATAATCTCACACACGCTGGAGGATCGTCGGATTCTGCCCACCACGTGTTCCTCCGCCCTTCTCCTCATCTTACTCCTCTTCCCACTTCTCCCCCCACTCTAGAACGCCCTCGAACTACATACGTAAATCCTTCACACTAGACGTCCTCGATCTCCCTCCCCCGCGGACCTCCGCCAGCGACTACCGACGGCCGCGGCCAATAAGAACATCTTCAGACGACGATTACCGACTGTGATACCGACGACGATCACGATCGAGGATTGAAACAAGACGATGACGACACTGATCATGACGACGACAGCAGCACGACCTCCCCAAAAACAACACGTTGTCTCTGAGTTGGGGCTGTGCCGTTCAAGTAACTAGCGGAATCCTTTTTGCACGCACTTCAAAATATTGTTTTGCCTCGGTTTCGGACCCCGCAGTTTGAAGATCTCTCAGAACGTTGTCAAGGGTTTGAAGGGGAAGGCGTGGGACTCCCGCGCAGAGCCATCTCCTCATCCTCCTCTTCATCCTCATTCCCCACATCCTGAGTGGGGTTCTTGTTTTCCCAGAACACCCTCTCCTTCCCACCCACCTCCCGCTCCATCTTCCATACAGCACAGTATTATGCCTACCACACACACCATACCATACCATAGTTCCTACCACACATACCATACCACACCATACCATACCATACCACACCATACGTACCATATCGTACCATACCATACCATGGCGTACCATAGCATACCATACCATATCACACCAATGCCACACAGTACCATACCATACCATACCTCCAGTACCATACCATACCATACCATACCGTACCATACCATACCTACCATACCATTCCATACCACTCCATACCGAAAACCATACTACTTACATGGTTTCGTGCCCCTCCCACCCCTCCAGGGAGGCCCCGCCTGAGCGAGGAGGGTATCGGAATACCATACTATTTACATGGTTTCGTGCCCCTCCCACCCCTCCAGGGAGGCCCCGCCTGAGCGAGGAGGGTATCGGAATACCATACTATTTACATGGTTTCGTGCCCCTCCCACCCCTCCAGGGAGGCCCCGCCTGAGCGAGGACGCTATTCGAAAGCAATGCTATTTATCAGGTTCCGTGCCCCTCCAACCCCTCCATGGTTTCGTGCCCCTCCCACCCTCCAGGGAGGCCCCGCCTGAGCGAGGAGGTATCGGAAAACCATACTATTTACATGGTTTCGTGCCCCTCCCACCCCTCCAGGGAGGCCCCGCCTGAGCGAGGAGGGTATCGGAACACCATACTATTTACATGGTTTCGTGCCCCTCCCAACCTCCAGGGAGGCCCCGCCTGAGCGAGGAGGGTATCCGAAAACCATACTATTTACATGGTTTCGTGCCCCTCCCACCTCTCCAGGGAGGCCCCGCCTGAGCGAGGAGGGTATCGGAAAACCATACTATTTACATGGTTTCGTGCCCCTCCCACCCCTCCAGGGAGGCCCCGCCTGAGCGAGGAGGGTATCGGAAAACCATATTTACATGGTTTCGTGCCCCTCCCACACCTCCAGGGAGGGAGGCCCCGCATGAGCGAGGAGGGTATCGGAAAACCATATTGTTTACATGGTTTCGTGCCCCTCCCACCCCTCCAGGAAGGCCCAGCCTGAGCGAGGAGGGTATCGGAAAACCCTACTATGTCCCCACATCCTGAGTGGGGTCTTGTTTTCCCAGAACACCCTCTCCTTCCCACCCACCTCCCGCTCCATCTTCCATACAGCACAATATTATTCCTACCACACACACCATACCATACCATAGTTCCTACCACACATACCATACCATACCATACCATACCATACCACACCATACGTACCATACCGTACCATACCATACCATGGCGTACCATAGCATACCATACCAAATCACACCAATGCCACACCGTACCATACCATACCATACCTCCAGTACCATACCATACCATATCATACCATACCGTACCATACCATACCTACGAGGAGGGTATCGGAAAACCATATTATTTCCATGGTTTCGTGCCCCTCCCACCCTTCCAGGGAGGCCCCGCCTGAGCGAGGAGGGTATCAGAAACCATACTATTTACATGGTTTCGTGCCCCTCCCACACCTCCAGGGAGGCCCCGCCTGAGCGAGGAGGGTATCGGAAAACCATACTGTTTACCTGGTTTCGTGCCCCTCCCACCTCTCCAGGGAGGCCCCGCCTGAGCGAGGAAGGTATCCGAACACCATACTATTTACATGGTGTCGTGCCCCTCCCACCCCTGCAGGGAGGCCCCGCCTGAGCGAGGAGGGTATCCGAAAACCATACTATTTACATGGTTTCGTGCCCCATCCCACCTCTCCAGGGAGGCAAAACCATACTATTTACATGGTTTCGTGCCCCTCCCACACCTCCAGGGAGGCCCCGCCTGAGCGAGGAGGGTATCCGAAAACCATACTATTTACATGGTTTCGTGCCCCTCCCACCCCTCCAGGGAGGCCCGCCTGAGCGAGGAGGGTATCGGACAACCATACTATTTACATGGTTTCGTGCCCCTCCCACCCCTCCAGGGAGGCCCCGCCTGAGCGAGGAGGGTATCCGAAAACCATACTATTTACATGGTTTCGTGCCCCTCCCACCCCTCCAGGGAGGCCCCGCCTGAGCGAGGAGGGTATCGGAATACCATACTATTTACATGGTTTCGTGCCCCTCCCACCCCTCCAGGGAGGCCCCGCCTGAGCGAGGAGGGTATCGGAAAACCATACTATTTACATGGTTTCGTGCCCCTCCCACCCCTCCAGGGAGGCCCCGCCTGAGCGAGGAGGGTATCCGAAACCATACTACATGGTTTCGTGCCCCTCCCACCCCTCCAGGGAGGCCCCTCCAGAGAGGCCGCGCTTGAACGAGGAGGGTCGCGGAAAGCATTACTCTTCGCCAGGTTTCGTAGCCCTCCCCCCTTCCAGCGGGGCCCCGCCAAAGCGAGGAGGGCATCAAGAAAATGGGTCCCACGAAACCGTTAATCTCTTTATGTGGGGAACTCCGTTAGCATAATGTTCATCCCTTCCCTCATCTTGATTGCGAGGAGTTGGAGGAGGAGTAGGCGGAGGAGGAGGAGGAGGAGGAGGAGGAGGAGGAGGAGGAGGGGGAGAAGGAGGAGCAAAAGGAGGAGGAGGAGGAGGAGGAGGAGGAGGAGAAGGAGGAGGAGCAGGAGGAGGAGGAGGGGACGAGGAGAAGGTGGAGCAAGAGGAGGGAGGAATAGAGGAGGAGAAGGAGGATGAGAGGTGGAGGTGGAGGAGGAGGAGGAGGAGGTGGAGGATGGCGCTGGAAAGCCAAGAAAACCAAAGCACAAGCCGATACAAACGAAAACACTGAAGTATGCACGTGACATTGCATTCAAACACTAGCAATACCGCCGTAAAGGGTATGAACGGGAAGGCGTGGGACTCCCGGGCTCAACCATCTCCTCGTCAGCATCTTCGTCCTAATCATCATCCTTTACGCCTTCCCCCTTACGAGGAGTGATAGGGGTAAGGCAAAGACGAGGATGAGGAGGAGAAAGAGGAGGAGGGGGAGGAGGAGGAGGAGGAGGAGGAGGAGGAGAAGGAGGAGGAGCATTGGCATGGGAAAACAAACAACACACGGACCCAAATAAGAGGAACACCAAGACAACCGTTTTGGGAAACCACCAAGAACAGACACACGACAGATGTCAGGGACAGACGCTCGAAGGGAAGAACGCCGGAAAGGGTTTGATGAGGAAGGCGTTCGGCTCGAGCGGGACCCTTTCCTCGTCATCCTCTCCATCCTCACCATCATCACTGCCCTCCTCCTCCTCCTCCTCCTCCTGCTCCTTACTAGGAGTGCCAGGGGTAAGGTGAGGATGAGGAAGAGAAGGAGGGGGAGGAGGAGGAGCAGGAGGAGGAGGAGGAGGAGGAGTGAGGAGGAGGGGAGGAGGAGGAGGAGGAGGAGGAGGAGGAGGAGGAGGAGAAGGGGGAGGAGTAGGAGGAGGAGGAGGTGGAGGTGGAGGATGGCATTTGAATGCAAATACAACTAAAGTAACAGCAACCACAACCAAGACACTGAAGTTCTGGATGCAGATCCTTTAGGAACATCATTTTGAGCAACCAACAAGTAACAGCAAAATAACAATCCCAGGGAAAACCGTCCGAGTGGAAGAACGCCGTAAATAGTTTGAAGGGGAAGGCTTGGAACCCTCGAAAGGAACCATCCGATCGTCCTTCTCTTCATGTTCATCATTATCATCATGACTTCTTGCTTCTCCTTACGAGGAGTGAGATGACTGAGATGACTGAGATGAGTGAGGAGGAAGGGGAGGGATATTTTGAGGAGGAGAGGGAAGAGGAGGAGGGGGAGGAGGAGGAGCAGGAATAGGAGGGGTGAGGAGGAGGAGGGGAATGTGGAGGATGGCGTCGGAAAACGTACTGAACTAAAACAGACACCAAAACAACCAAAGAACCTGAAGTGCTGGAGGCCGACATTTCAGTGCAACCTTTGGAAATGCCGCGAAAACAAACAAGCGGCAACCAAAACAAACCTAGTGGAAAACAAGGGAAATGTCCGAAGGGGAATCCTGCATTATTGGTGGAAGTCTTTGTGTGGCTGTCCTACAGGATTTCGAAATGTTCGGCCTCCAACACTTCGGAATATTTGGCTGTTGCCTTTTTCCGGCGCCCTCCTCTTTCTCCTCGTTCCCCTCCTCTTCCTCACTCTTCCTCATTATGCTGCTCATCATCCCGGATCTCTTGTTCCTCATTAGCCCCCTCCTCCTCCTCCTCCTCCTCCTCCTCCTCCTCCAGCTCCTCCTCCTCCTCCAGCTCCTCCTCCTCCTCCTCCTCTCACTCCTTTTACTCTCCGTAGGTAGGGGGAGGGAAATGATGATGATGCTGCTGCTGCTGCTGATGCCGATGCCGATGCTGACGCTGATGGCCCATGTGGCACGAGCGCAGGTTTGGCGACAGGCGCCGCTCCATCCGATTACCCCGCGTCCTGCAGGCATCCGCAGTCGAAGAAGGCCTCGGGCGGCCACTGTCCGACGGGGGCGGCGGGCGGACTTCGGGCAGCGCTGCGTTCCGCGTGTGGAGAGCGGAAGCACGACCCCGCAATGAACCAGCGCGGCGCGCGTTGTAGCGCACGACGCGCTACAACCCGGCAGTCACGGGGGGGATCGCCTCGAGGAGATGGAGCTAGAATGTTCCAAGTTTGATGCGATCACGCTCGTGGGCAGCCAACGGAAGACGAAAAGAAACGATGGAGCAGTCTCGGAGTGGCAACCGATGGCGGATGGATGCGGGGTGGTCCGCGGGCTCCATGACGACCAAATCCACGGGCGTGCTGATTCCTGCTGGTTCCAAGACTCGATACAAACACTTGCGCAGAGCACAGGTACCCCCATCGCATCTGGCTGGAAGGGGGTCAGCAGCGAGAGTATCATCGAGAACATGGGATTTCACAGCGACTGGAGGATATTACCCAGCCAGGCCAACATCGGTCAAAGCTATGCACGTGTATTATAAAACGTCCAAGGCTCTGATTGACTGGCTGGATCGAATCATCAGCACCATCCCCTCCTGCACTATCCCTGTCATTGGAGTGGGCCTCAACGACGGGCTCGGGAATGAGCACTGTGGTGCCCGCGGGGGGGAGTATCTTATAGAGGCATCGGCTGTATTACCTGTTGGTGCCCGTCGCGAGCAGCAAGCAGGCACATACTTTCGTGAGCTCATGGGGAGACACTTCGTATATGCGCCCACGACGCGAACAAGCGGACCCCTACTCCGGCGGGGCCGACGCCCCCCATCTGCTCGTGGTCTTTGATGGCGACCTGCACAATGACCTGCAAGTTCTGCCGGTTGTGCCGCAGGAGCTCGCAAATGCAGTCCAACCCGTCTCGGGGGGCATCGTGCCGAAGAAGCGCCCGTGGAATGCGAGCGTCATTTGGTGCGTGTGCAGGGCGTTGCGCTTCACGCCAGTAGAGTCCTGGTGATTTCCAGGGCGTATTGTATCAGACCGGCCTTCTCGCACAGGTTGCCGATGAACTGCTTGTCGCAGTGGGTGAGCATCGTCGTCTGCAGGACAGCCACCTTCGGCGCTTGCTGCAGGCTCATAGCAAACAGCTGGGTCTGCAGCTGGACCTGGTCTGGCCTGTTTCCCTGGAGTGCCTCGGGCTGAATCGAGGTCGTCGCCTGGATCCGATCCTGCTTCATGAGCACCTCGACGACCATGGTGCTGTCGATGAGGGGCCCGATCTCCCCCGTCAGCTTGCAGTAACTTCCGAGGCCCGAAAACCATCACGTCACTAATTTTGGGCCCCAGGGCCCATGGAGGCCCCAGGGGCCCCAGATTGGGGACAAAAATGTTTTTGTTCCCACGTACGGACCACGAAATTCATCACTTCACTAAACCGAGCCCAGGACGAAAGTCAGGGGTCGAATTGCTGCTGTGATGCAACATAGGTCTCGTATACCTGCTCGAGCTTGCCGTCGGGCGGACTCCAATGGCGTTCCGCTTGCCGTGCTCCAGCTTGCCAGGCGGGGTCTTGCCTTGTGGCCGTCGGCCAGGCCGCCCGAGACGCACCAGGGGCCGCCGACGCGGCGGGGGGGCGTGGCGGGGCCTTCCACCCCGCGCGACCCCCCATATGAGCCCTACAGTCGGGGCCCTGAAGAAGGAACCCTCTTCGTTGGGGAGGGGCTCCGCGTTCCTTAAGTGTTTCACAGCTTGCCTCAGGCTTCCCTTAGGTTTTCGACAGGAAATCGAAGTTTAACTTCAGGAAAAAAGGGGCCTCGTTCCCTATTTCGGGTTCCTCAGGTCGACGCCCCGACTGTAAGCCCTGTGGCCCTCACAAGACGGCCTGCCCTTCGAGGTGCCGCAGCCCGCACGGACGTCGCCCCGAGGCCTCCGCCCCCCAAAAGAAGCTGCTCGGCTGGCGGCGCCGCGCTGCCGCCGCCCGCCGCGGGCCCCCGCGGGCAATGCGGGTTAGGATGGTTTGGAGGGCTATGAGGGTTAGGAGCGCTAGGAGGGTAAGGATTGTTAGGATGGTTAGGGGGGGTAGGGCTTGGAGGAGGAGGCGGATGAGGAGGAGGAGGAGGAGCGTTAGGAGGGTTAGGCGGGTTAGGAGCGTTAGGAGGTCAAGGCGGGTTAGGCCTCCTCTCCGGCCGCCCTCCCGCTGCCCCGCCTGCCCTCGCGCGGGTGCGGCCCGCGGGGCACTCGGGCTCGTCTTGAGCCGGGCACGTGCAGGCGAACAGTGGTCGAACAATCGTCGGGGGAGGATGTTTTGCGACTGTTGTTTTACTACTTACTGTTGCTTTCTTTCTCTGCTGAGTATGTTCGACCTGTCTTCTGGGATCCGCCTGTAGGGGGGACGTGCCCTACCCAAAACTCGCCCGCGACCGCCGGCACTGCGGACCCACGAGTATGGCTGGCGCCCTCCTGCCGGAAGTCTTCGGAATCCTCGGCCACCGCCGCCGTGGACGACGACGCCCCTGGTGCAACCGCGTCGGACACGGCCAGGGCGAGGAGACATCCGTTCCAGAGCGCCCCAGACCGCTCAGAGAGCGTTCCGCAACGCTCTGAGAAGGCCGGGGCGCCCGAGACATCCAGAACCACCGGATCTCAGAGACGCTCGATCAATCCTTACCTCCTCCTCCTCCTGCTCCTGCTCCTCCTCCTCCTCCTCCTCCTCCTGCTCCTGCTCCTGCTCTACCTCCTCCTCCTGCTCCTGCTCCTGCTCCTCCTCCTCCTCCTCCTCCTGCTCCTCCTCCTCTGATTTTTCCTCGTCCTGGCTTCGTCTCACTGCGCCGCCGTGCCGCGGCGGCGGCCCTCGGCGCCGAGGGGCCGTCGCCCGCGCCAGCGGCGAGCGCCCGCCGGGCGCGCCAGCCAGGGCGGCGCTGCAGTCCGCCGCCGACGGCCTCGGCGCCCTCCTCGGCGAGGGCGGCGCCAGCAGCACGGCTCCCCGGGGGGCGGCGTCGTCGTCGTCGTCGTCGCTCGTCGTCGTCGTCGTCGTCGTCGTCGTCGTCGTCGTCGTCGTCGTCGTCGTCGTCTTCGGTCTTGTCCTCGTCCTCGTCCTCGTCCTCGTCCTCGGTCTCGTCGTCGTCGTCGTCGTCGACGTCGTCGTCGTCGGGCGGGCAGGGTCCGGGCTCAGGGGACGGGAGTCCAGGCAGAGCGCCAGATCTTGCAGGATCCTGCAGGGCGAGGGCTGCATGGGCCCTGGCCTGGGTGCAGGCACCTGCAATGATTGGCGTGTTTTCCACCACCACCACCACCACCAGAAGTTGGAGGGGGAGGGGAGGTGGAGGAGGAGGAGGAGGAGGAGGAGGAGGAGGAGCAGGAGCAGGAGGAGCAGGAGGAGCAGGAGGAGCAGGAGGAGGAGGAGGAGCAGGAGGAGGAGGAGGAGGGCCCCCCTCCTCCCCCAACTTATGGTGGTGGTGGTGGTGGAAAACAAACCCATCGTGCAAGGCCTTGCTGCCAAGGCCTGACTGACCTGCGTCTTTGACCAACCCGGGTCCGTAGATCCTCGGCCTGGGCCCCCGTGCCGCGTTCGATGTGCCAGCAGCCTCCAGCCCCCCGGGAGGCCAAGGCTCGGCGGAGGCGAAGGGGGGGGGGAAGTGAGGAGGAACAGGCCAGCTCAGAAGGCGTCCTCTTCATCCTCATCCTCGTCCTCTTCCTCCTCCCCCTCGCCGTCGTCCTCCTCCTCCTCCTCGCCCTCCTCCTCCTCCTCCTGCTCCTCCCTCCCCCCTCCTCCCCCTTCGCCCTCCTCCACCTCCCCTCCCTCCCCCTCCTCCTCCTCCTCCTCCTCCTCCTCCTCCTCCTCCTCCTCCTCCTCCCTCCTCCTCATCCTCCTCCTCCTCCTCCTCCTCCTCCTCCTCCTCCTCCCTCCCGCGCTGTGCTCCAGACTTCTGAGAGGTTTCCTGTGCCTTCGGGGAAGGCTCAGCCAACGTCTTGGAAGGCCGGGGGACCTCCGCGCCTTCAGAGAATCACCCTTCGCCGGGGTGACCTTTGGTGCTGGCCCAAAGGGGGTCGGGTGATGTTTCTTGTGGGATGAGCTTGGCCTCCCTTCGGCACCCGCATCGCGTGATTACGCTCGCATCTGAGCGCGCCAGGTTTGGGCCCACACCCCTTGCAATCGACAGCAACGCATACTCGTCGCACCCTACATATTGCATTGGTTATCCGATGGGGAACCGGTCGACCAGACGGCGCGTTTTCTGGCCCAGGACCAGTCCCGAATCCCAGCTCAAATCCCGCAACGTCTGGTTTGAATATTGTGGGATATCGCTGAATAGCTTTGAACGTCTTTGAATAGTTATTCGAACTAACGGGGATCTCTATTAGTATAACTTATCCAAAGATATTCAAACATATCCCAGGCTCTCGGATGTGGCCGGTTTTGGCCATGGCGCGAGGCCTGGTTAGACGTCATCGCGATGCAGCCCAGCAGTGCCAGACCTCATCGCGGTGGCCCCCGGCAGCGTCTGTTTTCGCAGCGGCTTCGAAGTGCCATTCGGGGCGCTCTAAGTTAACTGGCGGAAGTCCACGATTGCCCGCTGGCACAACAAATCTTTCGAGTGGCGCCCCGCCGGTCGTTGATGCGGCGCGGCAGCGCCGGCTTGCGCGATTGCGTTGGGCCCCCACGGGCGCCCTTGAAACCGCGCACCAAGGGCGCTTTTAGCCTAGGGCCACTCCCACGTGTAGTCGGCGTCACCCCAACATTTTTATGGTATATGTGCGTCGCCCCCCCGGGGGCGACGCGCGCACCGAGCAATCTTATAGTATGCGTCGTGGAAGCGCGTTCTGTCCACACCGCAAGGGGAAATATATACTACAAGATGGGTATAGTAGATGTTCGGGTCGGACGCGCGCCTGCAGGGAGGACATATCGCATTCGCATGTCCTTGTGCGTCCCATGTCGTCGAGAGAAGGCCCGCCCCTTTTCGCTTCCCCCCCGGGCTCGCCGCCGGGAGGGTTAGAGTCAGGAGGAGAAAAAACACACAGACACAATTGATCGGCGATTCCCAGAAAATATGGGAAAATATGGGAAGTGGGGGGGGAAGACAAAAAACCCAGAAAATATATGCGTTGTGCTTGCACATTAATGATCTCTTGCTGCGTTCAGTGCCGTATGTTGTACTTGTGCTCAAGTTTTTTCCAGGAGTGGTTTTCCCTGATGGGGGCGCAGTCCGCCCTCATCGAGACCTTCCAGTCTGCAGGGATCCGTGCTCTCGAGCTGCTGGCGCTGCGCCAATCCCTGATCTCGGCGGTGCCCCAGTGCCCCGCGGTCTCGCTGGCGTGCCCGCCCGCGAACGTCTCTTGCCCCGTCCAGGTCTGCCCAGCGCTGGCCCGCCCGACCCCAGCGTGTCCCGTGCCGCTGGTGGATCTCTCCTGCCCGCCTGCAGGAGCGGAGCTCGTCCCTGACGGGCTCGACATCCCCTCGGCCTGCTGGGGATACCTGGCAGGAGCCTCTGCGGGGCTCGGGCTGGGCGGCGCACTCTGGCGGCGGGGCGGCCGCGTCGACGCCGAGGCGACAGGGGTCGGAGATCGAGCGCGAGAGCAGTTGCAGCTGATCAGGAGGCGCAATGGCGAGAGTAGGTGACTACGTGCTCTTCCAGTATGACCTGCCTGGAGCGCCGGTGTATCATGAGAGGCTCGTGACAGGGGTCTCGATCGGGGATCCAGGTCTTGTCAGCACGTTCTCGCCAGATGGGGACCACTACGCCGAGTACACGACGTCCGACGACCTCAGAGATGCGCGGTGGTCGGGAGCGCAGGGCGCCACCCCCCCTGGGGCCAACCCCGCCCACGTCTACCGCTTCCGCCAGGTGCCAACGGCGGCCGAGGTCCAGCAGCTGATCCGCGTGGGCTCGCTCCTGATCGGGGGGGTGGCGCCGCCTGCTGCCGCTGTTCCTGCCGCCGCAGCGGCGCCCGTGGCGGCTCCCCCCGCGGCGGCCGCACCGCAGGGGGCCATCGTGCCTCGAGGCGCTGGCGTGGTGGGAGGGGTCCCCCGCGCTGGGGCCGCGGCCGCCCCCGCAGTGGCTGGCACAGTTTGGCTGGCTATTGAGGACTTCCAGGGGATGCGGCGCGGCGAGCAGATGCCTGATCCTCTCCCTCAGGGTGCCGTCGTACACGGGGAGCTGGCGCTGGTGCCTCATGGAGGGGGCTTCGTCGGAGCGCGCCAGGTGGCCCTAGCCGACGTGGATGCCTTCGTCGTGGACGACCTGCGCGTGCTGCCTGTGCGTTTCAACCAGCAGGGGGCGCGCCGTCGCCCTTACAGCGAGGCCGTGGACATGCAGATCGTGGATGAGCCTGAGGGAGGCATCATGCTGCAGGGCCCTCGCACTACGGATTGGGTGCTGAGGTCGTATCGGGATGCCGGGCTCACGCCAGTCACTCACCACTCGAACTGGCTGAGGTCGGCTCGCATCCCTGATGGAGATCGTTCAGTTCACGAACACGAGGTGCTGTGCCATGTGCTGGAGGCAATCGTGACCGTGGACCAGCTCAACGCCCCTGCGCTCCAGAGCGCCGAGCTCGTCGTGCGCAGGATCCAGGTCATCGAGGATGCTCACTCCGCCTCGCCCTCGAACCCAGACTACTCCGCGGCCGATGAGTTCATGGGCTGGGCCACGCATCGCCAGGGCGCCGCCGTCGCGCCCGACCTGCAGCGCCACGTGGCCGCGGGCATGCGCGACAGGGCAGCGATTCTCAAAGGGGCTCGCAAGGCGAAGGAGGAGCAGAAGCTGCGCCGCGGCAAGGGGGGCAACAGGACCGACGCCAGCGGTACTGGCGGGCAGGGATCATGACGGCTCCCAGTCGCGGGGGCTGGCCGGCCCGCGACGTGCACAAGGCCTGTGGTAGTGACAGGGGACGCCCTCCTGGGCTGAGTGCAGCGGACGATCGCCAGCGTGATCTGTTCCCGCGGCCCTCCATTCAGCCGACTCCGCCTACTTCTGCGCCAGCGTCTACGTCGACGAGGCGAAGGCTGGCACATAGGCGGCAGACGGAGCAGTGTGCCAATGATGCCATTGCGGGCCTCAACGCTCTCCATCCTCCGTGCGAGCAGCGTGGGCCCATCACGGCGGCTCAGCGGCTTGCTACCGCCACCATTTTGAACGAGGTCAGAATGGCCCCGAAGTCTGACACTCACGTTTCTCGCCGTGGAGCCGCGAAGGAGCTCCTGGCCTCCAGCCTGTCCTACACCGCGGACGAGGCACCGAGTCCCGTGGTAAGGTACGTCAGATCCCGAGTCGACATCCCAGAAGTGGGTGCGGTCATACCTCCTGTTGAGTCGGTGCTCGACGGGATCGGGAGGAGCTACGTGCTGGACTACGAGCAAGCCATGATGAAGACTCCTGACGAGTGGTCCCGCGTCTTGGATAGCGAGCCGCCCGTCACCCCCCACATGGATGAAGTTTTGAAGCGTGACCCAGTGGCATACCACACTTTCATCGGCGACCTGGTGAAGGCTAACATGCTGGGTTTCACGTACCGCCCGAAGGATTTAGTCACTCCCTTTTTCGTGGCCAAGAAGAGTGGAGCGCAGCGTCTAGTGTGGGACGCTAGAGTGCCAAATCGACGTTTTCGCGACCCGCCGCCGCTGGCCATGGGGACATCGGCGGCGCACGGTCGCCTACAGCTACCTGATGATCGTAAGGAGGACGGCAGCTTCAACACCGAGCTTTTCTGCGCCCAGGCTGACGTGCGCAACTACTTCTACGCTCTCGGCCTGAGGGAGGAGCTGGGACTGTTCTTCTCGCTGCCTCTGGTGTCGCAGGCTTCGTTGTCGCAATGGGGGGTTGAGGCAGTGGACACTCCCGAGGGCCCCTCGGGGGGCTGGGTTTGGCCGTTCCTGCGGGTCCTTCCGATGGGCTGGTCTTGGGCTTTCTGGCTTGGGCAGCGTGCGAATGCGCACGTCTGCTGCTCTGCCTCGGGGCTCGGGTTCCCGCGGGTGCTGACCGATCACGGCCCGGTGCCCCCGCTCGACGGGGGGGTCCCTTGCCTCCTCCCCTATTGCGAAAACATCAACGTCATCGGCACCGACCCTGTCAGATGCAATGTTTTGATGCACCAGATCTGCGACGCCTGGAGGAAGCATGGCGTGCAGATTCACGAGGTGGTCGAGGCCACTGACGTCTTCGCCAGCCTCGGCCGTCTGATCGACGGCGCGTCTGGGCGAGTTTTCTCACGGCCCGAGCGCTCCGAGCGCCTCCGCCAAGCTTCACTGTGGCTAGAGCAGCGCCCTAGAGTCACGGGGAGGGAGGTGGAGAGGTACGTGGGTCATCTCATTGATCATCTGATGCTGAAGAGGGAGCTGCTCTCGATCCTCAGGAGTTTGTATGATTTCGTCAGAGAGTGCTATCACGTGCGAGCCCGTCTCTGGCCCTCGGCTGCCCGCGAAGTCGAGCAGTGCCGTCGCCTGCTGCCGCTGATGTCTGCCAACCTTCGGCTTCAGTGGTCGCCGACGGTCTTCGCTTACGACGCGTGCTTGACGGGTATGGCCACGTGTCAGACAACACTGTCATCAGATCTTGCCAAGCGCATCGGGTCAGTCAGCGAGAGATGGAGATATCGCATGCCTTCGGCTATCTCGGCACGCCGTTCTGCTCTGGGAGTCCGTTCTGGAGGCTATGAGGCCTCGGAGGGGCCGTTCGACGTCTTCAGCGACATCGAGACCGTCAAGGCCCCCAAGAGCACCAGCATGGACCTCATCAAGGACCCCTGGGAGCTCAACCCGCAGTTCACAGAGGTGCCCGTACAGGCTCTGCAGGGCCCCCAGTGGAAGCAGGTGGTCTCGGCCAGGGTTCACGTCAAGGAGCCCATCGCTATTATCGAGGGGAGGGCTTCGAACATGACATCTCGTCATATCACGAGGGCCCAGGCCTCCTTTGGTCTCCGACATCTACGTTTTGGGGACAACCTCGGCACAGTGCTCGCGCTCGGACGTGGGCGATGCTCCTCCTATCCCCTTCTGCTGTGCTGCCGCAGAGAGGCTGCCTACTCCGTCGCCACTGCGTCGCGGTTCGAGCATCGGTGGATACCTTCGGAGCTCAACCCCTCCGATGAGGGGTCGAGGCGCTGGGATGCCAAGTCGGGAGGTGTCCCGCCTGCCCCGCGCGGTGTCCGTCAAGCGCCCAGCTGCCAGCCCCAAGATCGTGCAGAAGAGCTTTTTGAAGGGCAGGCCGTTTGTTGGGGCGACGAAGGAGGAGAGGATTGCTCACCGTCTGCGGGCCTCTGGGCCGTTCACGATGGCGGGGGAGGACGAGAGGGGCTTCCTGGAGTGGAACGCGGTGGCGCCCGAGACCCAGGCATACTACAAGGACGCCCTCGACGACTTCCAGACGTTCGTGGACCTTTTCGAGCTGCCGCTGCACACCGCGGCTCAGGTCGACCTGGCGCTGATGAACTACGCCGACTACGCCTGGAGCATCGGGCTCGAGAGAGCCGCCGTCCTGAAAACATATGCCGCGTACATCTTGGCGCACCCCGACTTTTCCCGAAAGGGGTCGCTCCGCCTGCCGCGTTTCTGTCGGGCCCTCCAGGGTTGGAGGCGCCTGGACCCAGGCCAGACGCGCCCGCCCATGCCCTGGCAAGTGGTCGCGCTGGTCGCGCTGGCGATGGCCACGCAGCTGGGGTCCCCGCGCGCGGCGCTCATGGTGGTGACGATGTTCTGGGTGTACCTCAGGCCCTCCGAGGCCGTCGGCCTGCGCGAGCAGGACCTCTTCCTCCCCTCGGGCTCGTGCACGGACTACGGCTTCAACCTGCACCCCAGCGCGAGGGGCGAGTACAGCAAGACCAGCTTGTCGGACGAGAGCCTGCTCCTCGATTCGGTCGAGGTGCCCTGGCTGGGCCCGCTGCTGGCGCGCGCGAGGTCGGGGGACCCGCAGGCGCCGCTGTTCCGTCTCACCGCCGCGCAGCTGGGCGTCATGTGGCGTCAGGCGCTGGAGCTGGCCGAGGTGCCCACCAAGTGCGTGCCCTACCAGCTCCGCCACGGTGGCCCCTCGCACGATCGCCTCAAGAGGTATCGTTCCATGGACGAGATCAAGAGGCGCGGGCGGTGGGCCAGCGACTACACGATGAAACGCTACGAGGCCCACGCGCTGGTGCAGCAGGAGCTGGCGGCACTCCCAGTCGACGTCTGCCGCAGGGCCGAGGCGGCGCCCGCGAAGCTGCACGCCGAGCTCGAGAGGCTCCTGGCGCGGCCCCAGAGGCCGCGGACGGCCACGCCGTCGGCGCGGCTGCAGGCGGCACCTGTGCCCAGCATGCGCCGCCCCGCACCTTCTGCCAAGGTGCCGCGGCCCGCGCCCGTGCCAGGCCGTTCGTCGAGCTCATGTGCGGCTCCGCCGCCTTGGCCAAGGCCGTCCACGCCGCCGGCTGGGCTTCGGAAGGCTGGGACTATGCTGACGACCCGCGAGCCGACCTTCTTGATGAGTCCCTCGTCGACAGTCTGGTTTTGAGGATCTCACGGAAGGAAGTCGCGGGGGTGCATGTCGGCCTGGACTGCAAAACGTGGAGCCGGGCAAGGAAGAATGATGGACAGGGTCCGCCGCCGCTCAGGGACGATGCGAATTTGCACGGCCTCCCTCTGCTGGCGGCGGCAGACGCTGAGAAGGTGAGGATCGCCAATCGTCTGCCCGCCAATGTTCTGCGCCTGCTGGCGGCGGCCGTCGAGGCGGGAGTCCCCTTCTCTCGAGAACCCTCGCACGTCTCGCCTCTGGCTGAGCCATGGCTCGCGACGCTCACGCCGAGTGGGCTTCTGTTGATTATTGCCAGTATCAGGTCCCCTGGAAAAAGGCGACTACCTTTTTGCTTTTCAATTGGTTGCCAGCGCAGCCTTCCCTCCGCCTGTGTTCAGGCTGTCAAAAAAGGTGTAGTGCAACAGGTAAGGCACACATAACGCTGAAGGGTAAAGACCCGCTCGGTGTGTTCTGGACTTCGAGGGCGTGCCCTTACCCCGCGGCGCTCTGCACAGATCTAGCAGCGCTGGTGGTGGCCAAAGCCAAGACACTGGATGGCAGTGGGTAGGGGCTCAGAGTCTTGAATGCCGCTCGCTCAGTCCGTTCAGGTCAGCGCCATCGTGCTGCCCTGTCACCGCCTGCCGCTCGTTCTCTTGATTTGCTTCGAAGCAGCGGAGCATGCCGAAGGAAAAGTTGATCTTGGCACGGGTAGCAGCCTAAGCTCATGCGTTGTGCTTGCACATTAATGATCTCTTGCTGCGTTCAGTGCCGTATGTTGTACTTGTGCTCCAGTTTTTTCCAGGACCCGCCTGCCGTCCCCATCTTCCTCCTGCCTGGGCGTCACTTCGCCCCACAGGGGGCTCAGAGTCTTGAGTGCCGCTCGCTCAGTCCGTTCAGGTCAGCGCCATCGTGCTGCCCTGTCACCGCCTGCCGCTCGTTCTCTTGATTTGCTTCGAAGCAGCGGAGCATGCCGAAGGAAAAGTTGATCTTGGCACGGGTAGCAGCCTAAGCTCATGAAAATATGGGGAATCTTTTTATTTGTGTGTATTCATTTGTGTGTTTGTGGGCCCCTTCATAAAGGATGCGAGGAGCCTCGGCAGGCTGCCGCGCGTGAGCTGAAGCCTGGCGTGCCCCCTCCACGGGGCGGGCCGTCGGGCCGAGTCGCGGCGGGTCGCCTGCCGCCTGGCTGGTCGGGCCGGGCCTCGGTCGGGCGACGGGGGAGGTTCAAGAGGGAAAGAAACACACAGACACAATTGATCGGCGATTCCCCAGAAAATATGAAGAAATATGGGAAGGTGGGGGGATGACAGAAACCCCGAAAATATAGGAAAATGTGGGAATCTTTTTATTTGTGTGTATTTATGTTGTGTGTCCTGGGGCCCCTTCAGAGGTGGGGGGGGGGGGAGAATTACCCAGGCCCCTTTCGGGTCATCCTAGGCCTCCCAGATGGGGTCGGAGGAGACGGGGTCGGAGCATCGCGCCGCATCGCCGATGCATCGGCGATGCATCGGCGATGGGGCTCGATGTGGGGCCCAACTGTCTCCACGCTGACGTCGCCGATGCATCGCCGACGTCGCCAGTGCATTGCCGACGATGCATCGCCGATGCATCGGCGATGCATCGCCGATGTATCGGCGATGCGGCGGGATCCTCCGACCGCATCTACTCCGACCCCATCTAGGAGGCTCCCAGTCATGGAGCAATCATGACTGGAGGGTTTTCGCGAGTTTGGTTCGGCCTCTGGGGACCCTTACCAGCACTCGATGCCGTCGGAAAACTACTTGGGAACAAAAGCTTGACTCTGGGGATGAGTCCAGACCGCTGGGGGTACACGTCATGAGGGGGATAAGGGAGATGGGGGAAGGAGGAACAACCAGGGGAAGGGGAATGGTCGAGGAACAAACGGCGGCCGAAACATGAACTCGGAGCTCCGCGCGGATTTTTCGGATCTGCGCTTGGCCCTTGGCGCGCTCCGCGCGCCAAGGAGGGGGGCTCCAGCGTAGATCCAAGAAATCCGCGCGCACCACCTCCGGGAAAGGTGTGTGCAGGAGGAGGATCGGGGCAGACGATGGGTTGGGGTGGGGTGGGGGGGTCGGGGAAAGGGGGGGGGAGCGAAATCTGCCGCAGAGCCTAGTCTCGGTCTCGACTGTGCGCTTTCTTCGAGGCAGGCGCATTCACTGGGGCCAGAATCATGTCCATTATGATCTCGATAGAGAAACCACAGACACAATTAGCTGACGATTCACAGCAAAAATATTGAAAACATGGGAAGTTTGGTGGAAGACGAACATCATGAAACTATTACGAATCCGAATGAACATATCAGAGATTGGGAGTCCCGGGTTTTGTGTCTATTGATTGGTCGTGTTTCTGGACGCCTTCATATCCGCAAGGGCTTCGCCCCATGCCGCCGGCCCCCTGTCCCGGATAATGGTAGATGGAAAAGCTAAATCATGAGGTCTGGGCGCCGCCGTGAAGCAGTGTCGGGACCTGTTTGTTTTTGGACCCTTCCCCTACGGATCTGCGTGAAGGGTGCAGCTGAATTTCAGAAATGTGTTAAATCCCTTGTGTTTTTGGACCCTGACCCTACTGATCTGCGTGAGGGGTGCCACCGAACTTCAGAAATGTAGCAAATTCCATGTGTTTTTGGACCCTGACCCCGCCGATCTGCGTGAGGGGTGCCAGCGAATGTCAGACATGTGGCAATTCCCTTGTGTTTTTGGACCCTGACCCTACAGTCTGCGTGAGGGGTGCCACCGAATTTCAGAAATGTGGCAAATCCCTTGTGTTTTTTGACCCTGACCCTAGTGATCTGCCTGAGGGGTGCCACCGAACTTCAGAAATGTAGCAAATTCCTTGTGTTTTTAGACCCTGACCCCGCCGATCTGCGTGAGGGGGTCCAGCGAATGTCAGACATGTGGCAAATCCCTTGTGTTTTTGGACCCTGACCCTACAGTCTGCGTGAGGGGTGCAAGCGAATTTTAGAAATGTGGCAACCCTTATATTTTTGGACCCTGACCCCGCCGATCTGCGTGTGGGGTGCCACCGACTGTCAGAAATGTGGCACATCCCATATGTTTTTGGACCCTGACCCCGTTGATCTGCGTGAGGGGTGCCACCGAATTTTAGAAATGTGGCAAATCCTCTGTGTGTTTGGACCCTGACCCCGCCGAGCTGCGTGTGGGGTGCCATTGACTGTCAGAAATGTGGCACATCCCATATGTTTTTGGACCCTGACCCCGTTGATCTGCGTGAGGGGTGCCACCGAATTTTAGAAATGTGGCAAATCCTTTGTGTATTGTTGGACCCTGACCCTACTGATCTGCGTGAGGGGTGCCACCGAATTTCAGACATGTGGCAAATCCCTTGTGTTTTTGGACCCTGACCCCGCCGATCTGCGTGAGGGGTGCCAGCGAATGTCAGACATGTGGACAATCCCTTGTGTTTTTGGACCCTGACCCTACAGACTGGGTCAGGGGTGCCAGCAAGTTTCAGAAATGTGGCAAATCCTTTATGTTTTTGGATACGGATCTGCGTGAGGGGTGCCACCGAATTTCAGACATGTGGCAAATCCCCTGTGTCTTTGGACCCTGACCCCGCCGATCTGCGTGAGGGGTGTAAATTATTACCCACCCCAGCAATTCAGAGCATACGTTTTGGCCGTTGTAAGAATGCCCGTTTTGGGCCTCCCCCCTCGTGCGGTCCATCAACAAGGAACAGTAAGCAGCAAGAAGCAGACAGTAAGCAGCAAGAAGCAGAACTGTAACAGTGGAAACTGGAAGCTGCAACTGGTATAGGAAACTGCGAACCTTCGCCCTACAGCCTGGTGGCCCCGCAAGGGGGCCGGCGGATACTATGTTGTGTTTGTCCACCATTTCGTGGCAAATGCTGGCCCGAACACAGCGCATATGTGTTTCGCACTTGTCGCCCGGAGAACCGGCCAGAGAAGTATGCACTATGTTTTGTCTCGTGGCGTTTCTGCGAAGCCCCATAGGACAAGGACGCGCGGTTCCCATTGACCTCTGTAAGGCAGTGATGCGCAGATGGGGTCGAATGCTCTCGCCGCATCGCCGATACATCGGCGACGCGGCGCGATCTGGAGTCGGATGTCCCCCCGTCCCGTGAGATGAGCAGGGAGCTTGAGGGAGGCGTTTCTTGCGGTCTTGTCCTTTGTTCTGTTCAGGCTTCCGCGGGCACTCCCCTGGCCCCGGGACCGTCAGCCCGATCTCTCAGTACGGTAAGACACCTCCCAGAAGAAGCCAAACACCAAACCCAACCCTTAGACCCCAGGAAACGTCCAGCGATTCTTGGTGTGGGAAGGCGTCGCGCTTTCCACAGCAGGCCATCGGAACCCACGAAACCCAGGGCACCCCGGAGGCAGGCAGGGTGTTCCTTGGCACGGGTCTCCACGGTACTCCAGATTTCGTAATACAAGGGAGGGGGTCTCATTTCGGGGGGGGTCTCTTCCAGGCCACCTTGGAGGGCCTGGGGGGGGTCTGGGGACGATGTTTTTGGAGGGTCCGCCCACGGGGGAGGTCTGAAATGGCTCGTCTTGGAGGGTCCAGGCCCCCTCCCTTTTGTTACGAACTCTGGAGTAGGCCTGCGCCGCGCCGGCCCCGGCGACGACCCCGGCGCGGGCCCAGGGTCGGCCCCGTCGGCGAGCGATCGGCGTGGGCGGAGGGCCGCGAGCGTGCGAGGCCTCCGCGATCCGCGCGACATCGGAAAGCCAGCGCCCGCGACATCCGGCGCCTCCTCCTCCTCCTCTTCCTCCTCCTCCTCCTCCTCCTCCTCCTCCTCCTCCTCCTCCTCCTCCCCTCGGGGCCAGTGTTCAGTTCTGGAGGTCGCTCCCCCGAACTGCGGCCGAGCGAGGACCCCTCGGATGCGTCCACCCCTCTGGGGAGGTGCCGCCCTTCTCCCGCTTACACAGCGCACGACAGGTCGTACAGTGGAGACCCATGCCAAGAAACACCCTGCTTGCCTCCAGGGTGCCCTGGGCTCCTTGGGCTCCCGCACCAGAAGTCAAGGGACGTCCCGGGTTCTCAGGGTGGGGTGTCCTGTGGAAGGTCTCTTGTGGCCTGGCCTCCACTGCGTCCGTGTGGGGAGTTGGTGTTTCGAGCAGGGTAGCGACTACAGCACTGATTGACCCCAAAGTGGATTTTTCGTCGAATCTTCGAACCCACACGTAGCATGTTCGTAGATCTGCAGACATACGACGCATGTTCCGTGAACTCTACGAACCAAAGGAATCTGGGGCACATCAGCTCTGCATCGATCTCCTGCTCGAGTGTTGGGGGAAGGCGGCCGGTTTTTCGGCCAGCTCCGCGCCGTGGAGTGGAAAGGGAGTCAGGAGCGAGCGAAGGACATACACGTACATTAATCCACTGTGGTTTCGAGAGTACGCATTGCGCGAGATTTTGCACCACGCGGCTGGTCTCGCGAACAGATGGGCCGTGCTCATGTGCGTGGGTGGACGCGCACGTCTTCTGTGGGTTCCCTATTTGAGTTTTGAGAGGGAGACAAACGCACAGTCACACAAAACCGCCGCTCCGCTCCCCATGGATATATATATATATATATATATATATATATGGAAGCTATGGGAAGTGGAGGGGGAAGGCGAACATCCAGGAGATACGGAAATTTGGGAACTCTTGTCGGACTGGACGAAAGGGGGGGAATTGAGAAAGCGGGGGGTACGACATTTGCTGCATGCAGCTGGTTTCGGCCTCACCGAGGGGCCCATTCCTCGATACATGGCCGCCTCCGGCGCCGGGAGGCGCCGGGAAAATCAGCTACGTGAGCTGATTCTCACCCCCCCCCTTTGCTATCCCCCCCTTTCGCCCGACCCGATCTTGGGGTTCGTGCCTATCCGTTTGCGTGTCCCTGGGCCCCCCCCTCGACCGCGGCGAGAATCTGAGGCCCGTCTCCTGCACGTGTTCCCGAGGTGCAGCACGCTCTGGGGGCGCACGCGTCCTCTGTGTGGGCTCCCTAGGGTTAAGTCGGGCATGTCCCTCTACAGAGGTCCTCCTCCTCCTCCTCCTCCTCCTCCTCTCCTCCTCCTCCTCCTCCTCCTCCTCCCCTCCTCCCCCCCTCGTCCCCATCCCACCCGTCCCATCCTCCTCCCACCTCCTCCTCCTCCTCGTCCTCCTCGTCATCCTCGTCCTCCTCCCCTTCTCCCTCCTTCTCTTGGACCTCCAAAGGCCTCTTAGAGGCCTCCAGAGGTTCAAAAAGGCACAAGACACGATGGAAGACTACGACGACGAATTCAAGAATTAGCAAAACATAGTTGTTTTTAGTCCGTAGCCATTTTGGCTCGAGCCACTGCCATCTAAAGGCCCTCCCTCCCGCTCTGTCTGTATTCTTCCCAACACGCAGGTGACCCCCGACCTTCTGTGACCATGGCCACTACTGCGGAGCTCATGCGGATATGTGCCCCGTTGTACCCGTCCATCGCCCTAGAGAGCGCGGCGAACTTCGGGCTGTTTCTATTCTTCTCGTATCTGTCCATCCTGATCTCCACGAAGCAGCAGGTGAAGACGCCCGCGAGGGCGATTTGTCGGATGCTATGGAGCAGCCTGAAGGAGTGGGCGGAGGACACTTGGAGGGTCTTGCGCAGGTGGCCTCACATGCACGAGATGGAGCTCGGTCAACGCTTCCGCTATTGCCGGAGGCTCAACGCGACCATTTGTCGACTGTCGGCCGGCATTGCGCTCATTACGATCACCCGCTGGTTCCACATCAACAACGTGAACGGCTTCCGCTACCTCGGGTATGCCCTCACCTGCCCCCTGATGCAGGCCGAGCTCGTGCTGCTCATCGCGCCGCACATCCCGTGCTACAGGCTTCTGGCGGTCTTCTCGTGCCTCATCACTTTCGGCATGCTACTCACCGGCTACGTTGCGTCTCAGTTCGAGGGGCCGATGTGGAAGAACGATTTCGAAACCTTCTATGACGAAGCCCTGGAAGGTAACCTGGACAGTCTGACCACAAAGGGGTGGTGGCTGATGCCAAGCACGGTGATTTTGTGCTTCCTCTCTTTTGTGCAGATCCCAATTCTTGGCCTTGTGTACTATTGCAGCGGCGGCTCGAAGAATGAAGACCTGCCGAAAGGCTACCCTAAGCTCCTGATGATCACGTCTCTCTCTTGGTTGGGCTTCCCCGTCTGGTGGTACTTGTCGTACGAGGGGGCAAGCATTATCACGGAGTCTAGGTGGAATGCTGTAGGGTTTGTGTGCCTGAACATGACCAGCAAGGGCGGTTTCACTTTGCAGATGCTCAGCATGGTGAAGGCGTGGAAGCGCCAGCAGGCCCAGAAGCCAAAGCCTCCAGCCCCCCCGGTGTCTGCCGACGCGGTGCCGAAGCTCGAGCTGCCCATGGGCGCGGTACCGAAGGGCCGAAGGGGCAGCAACGCGACGCTGCCCGACCTGGACACCCCTGCGGTGCGGGAGACCCGCGTGGTGCGAAACGCCAAGAGGAACCAAACGGGACAGTCGCTGCAGTGGTTCGTCGACGCCATGAAGAAGTGGGAGCCCGAGGATGCGAACCCCGCGACCTCGACCGCGCAGGAGGCGGACAGGGGCCCACAGGGCGAGATCGAGACGGTGGTGGTCACGGACCCGCGCCAGCTGGACGACGAGCAGCTCGTGCGGGAGCTGGGGAAGCGCCTGGCCGCGCACGGCGCGTGCGGCAAGGGGACGCCGAGGACGTCGCTGAACGCCTCCATCCGCAAGGCGTGCACCAAAATCCTCGAGGCCGACGAGAGCGATGACGACGAGTGAGCGACGCGGCAGGGGTGGCCCTCCCCTGGAGTCGAGTGGCAAAAACCTGCACAATCATAATTTTTCTGATTTACACCGTAGAATCATAAGTCAGGAGAATCGAGTATCGAACATTCTTGAAACTGGTTATTTTTAAGGTCCCTGCGTCGCGTACGTGGCCCGTGCCGCCAGCGTGATGGCATCGGTAAAGCCGTGCCGTCGGCCGAGCAGTCACCGTGCTCACGGCCCCAGACCTCCTATTGATGGACGAAGGTCAAGGGCCTTGCATTGAGACATCAGGACATGGGAGGTCTGGGAAAGTAGTCACCGCCCATGCTTCTTCATTTATCCCGCGCGTCGCCCTGTGAGAATCTCCAGGCCGCGCTTCTGGCGCGTTCAAGAGGCTCGGGGGCCATCTGGTCGTGCGCCGAAATTGGCAGCGGCGGTCTCCTCGCCCTCAAGCGGCCACGGGGCCTTCACGAGGCCCCCCCGTGGTCTTGATCGTTAGAGCAGACTTCCCGTGTTGCTCTTGTGGTCCTTTTTTGCCCGCTGTGTGCTGGCTTGTAGCCTTCGGTCGCTCGAATGTGATGCCACGTCCCCGGCGGTGGCCCCCTGTGGAGCCCTCTCGCGGACCCGATCCGATCGGATCTTTCTCCGTTTCTTCCGGCATCTCGCTCCTCGTAGTCTGTTCCCTTTCCTCGTCTTCTCTCCCTCCCGCTCCTGCTCTCTTCCACTGTGCTCGGTCCCCACGGGAACAGCTGTGTAGGTATCCGTTTCTTCTGGCATGCTGGCGTCCTCCACCGCCTTCAGGAATCATGCATTCGGTGGAGAGGAGCTGATGAGCTCAACAAAAAAAGAATAGCAAAACAAAATCGTCTGGGGACGATTCTCCGACGACCTTTGCCTCTCCTGCCCATCCCTGAACGCGTCTTGGTATTTTCTCTAAGCTTCCTCTCAGATCCGCCTCCAGAGGGACATGCCGGACCTAGCCCTCTGGACGAGGGGGGCGCCCAGTCGGGGCCAGAGCAGAGAGGGGCGGAGGATCGCGCCGCACGGCCGAAGCACCGGCGTTGCGGCACGATCCTCTGACGCCCCCTGCTCCCGCCCTTTTTGGTCCGGGGTATGCTGACGGTGCCCCGGGCCCAAGGTGCCCTCCGGTTTTCCCGCCCAGATCCTGCAGCCCCTGGGGGCCCTCTGGGCCTCGTGCGGGGTGCTCGGGGGGGAGGAGGAGGAGGAGGAGGAGGAGGAGGAGGAGGAGGAGGAGGAGGAGGAGGAGGAGGAGGAGGAGGAGGAGGAGGAGGAGGAGAGGAGGGCGCGGAGGAGGAGTAGGAGGAGAAGGAGGAGAGGAGGAGGAGGAGGAGGAGGAGGGGCCTTCCTGGACATCCTGGGGGCTTTCCGGGAGCAGGAACTGAAGCAGGAGGGAGGAGAAGGAGGAGGAGGAGGAAGAATGAGGATGCCAGACGTCGATCGCCGCCTCACTCCAAGAGAAGCGCCCGCGCGCGAGGCGGCGGAGAGGCGGCGCTACTACGCGCAGAAGCAGGCGCGGCGCGGTGTTGCGGGGCAGTTTTGATCGGGGGGTGGGGCTTGGGGCTCGGGGGGCCGAGCTTCGATCGAAGAACAACAAGCTGCATAAACGTTTTGGTCTTCCTCCTCCTCCTCCTCCTCCTCCTCCTCCTCCTCCTCCTCCTCCTCCTCCTCCTCCCTCTCCCCATACTTCACCAGCCTCGAACTTATCCCTATCCCTAAGGTTGACACGCCAAAAGGCGATGACAATCTTAGGGATGCGCCCCGAAAAGCGAAGGGAATCCCTAAGATTGGCATTGTAATGAGGCGATGCCCAGCTTAGGGATAGGGTATGTTCCAGGCTGGTAAATACACCTCTCCTCCTCCTCCTCCTCCTCCTCCTCCTCCTCCTCCTCCTCCTCCTCTTCCCGCTCTCTCTCTCCCTCCTTGTCGTCGTCCTCCTCCTCCTCCTCCTCACAGGTCCGCGCGCATGTCTTGGACCGGCTTGTGGCCCTCCCCTGGCGAGCCACCGGCGCCCCCCACGGCGCGCGCCAGGGGTGCTCTTGGCGCGGATCCGAGGAATCCGTGCGGAGTTTCAGCAGTTTTTGCGTGCGTGCGTGCGTGCGTGCGTGCGTGCGTGCGTGCGTGCGTGAGTGAGTGAGTGAGTGAGTGAGTGAGTGAGTGTGTTTGTGTGTTTGTGTGTGTGTGTGCCGTTTTTGTTCTGCCTTGATTATGTGGCGGAGGTTCTTCTTCTCTCCCAGCACCATCGGGTGCCTTCAGAGGCCCCAAACATGGGCCAGGGGCATCGGGATCCTCGATCCATCCTCGGCTCGTCTTCTTGGTGTTGTTGTTATGATTATTCAGGCTTCGCGTATCCCCACCAGCCCATCCGTATCCGACGCCCAGGTGAGTAGAGCGATCAGGGAAGTCTAGGCAGCCGTCATTGCTCGAGGCAGGAGGAGGATGGACGAGGGAGGAGGGAGAAGGATGATTCATTAGCTGATGAGGAGGACCAGGAGTAGGAGTGGACTCGGAGGAGGAGTATGAGACCGAGCAGATGGGCCAGAGGCCTCTTGAATGCCCCTCGGACTCTCCTCTGATGTCTCTTGAAGCCTTGTGGAGACCTCTTGGGGCGTCCTGGGGGCCTCTTTTCCCCCCGGGTACGTCTTTGAGCGTCTGGGATGCCTCGGGGAGCCTCTTCGGCCCTCGTGGGGGTCTCTTCGGCTCTCTTGGGTGCCTCGTGGGCGCCTCTTGGGGCCTCCTGGGCGCCTAACTCTTGGGCCTTGTTCAGGCGCTCTTGGGAGCTTTAGGGGCGCTCTTGGGGCCATCTTAGAAGAGACCGATCAAAGAAAGGGAGAGTTGCAATTAGGGCCCCCCCTTCGGGAGCGCCTAAGATCGCTGGGCCGCTCTTGGGGCCGTCTGGGGGCTCTCTTGGGCCTCTCTTGAGGCCTTCTTGGAGACATCCTGAGGCCTCGGAATGCCATCGAAAGCAAAAAGGTGAGAAGGCAACATTCATGGATTGCCCTCAGGTTTTTGAAGGATTGTGGCCCTTAGGTTTTTTGAAGGATGAAGGCGCGAGATGGTTGCGGATGAAAGCATGTTCATCCGCAACCATCTCGCGCGTTGGAGCGAGAAGCCTGGAGAGCACGGCCTGCAGCGCAAAGCAGCAATGGCGACGTTCGACGAGCCCCGCAGCGCAAGGCGCAAGGGATTCTGTGACCAGTGGAACGAGGAAAAGCAAACCGCACATATCCCAAAGCGCGGAAGGGCCGAATCAAACACTTCGCGACAACAGCCGAGACTGAGTGGAAGTCAACGGAGAAGGTCAGGCAGAAATGTTTCGCGGTCGCGCAGCTCGTGCAGGAGTTCGGGTTGACCTTCACAAATTTCCCTTCCGCGCAAGTGGGCTGCGAATGGGCCCGTGCAAAATGGCAGAACAAACACGAAGACATTCCAGGCGGCAGAAACCCACCCGCCCAGGATCGACGTGGAAGACGCCATCGGTTTCGACTATATCTTCGTTTTTGACGACGGCGCCACGCGCGAGAGGAGCAGCAGCAGCGAAGAGACTTGCAAGCGGAGAAAGTCGTGACAAAAGGTGCCAGACATGCTTTGGAGGGTCTGCGTCTGTCTTCGGCAGCCGTGGAGACGCCTGGCGCGAAAGTGGAGAACCAATCTCACGCGGGGGCGCACTGGGCCAAGTTGCGAGCTCAGGTGCGGATTGCCAACAATTGTTGTCCACCATGCTTTTGTAATCTCTTTTTTCGTCTCATCGTGCGCGTTCCTCTTTCCCCCCCTGCATCTTTCTTCCCTCGCCGTTTCTCCCTGCCAGACGCCCGCGGGCAGAATATGAACGCCCTGCGCATGCTGGCAGCGACCATGAAGGAACTGAGAAACAGGTTCTCTCCAGAGGGCAATAGGAGCGGCGCTGACCCGAAGTGGGACAACAACCTGCAGGACGTCACGCCCGCTCGCACCGCGCAGACGAAGTTCCCGGGCCAGGCAGATCTGCCCCTGGCCGAGGTAGCACGCATCCCCGAAGATGAACCGATCGAGGAGACTATCATTGACACGGCGCGCAAGCTGAAGGAGGTGCTCGAGAATGCCCAGAAGCATCTCGACGACTGGAAGCTCAGCCCCAAGCGCCGGACGGCAATGAAGACGCGAGGGCGCGCGCGGAGAGCAGGGCATGAGAGTGGCGGGGGGGAGGGAACTAGCAATAGAGATTGGTGTAGGGCCAGAGTGGCGCATAGTTAAAAACAACAGCGGCAGAGGGGGGAGGAACACCGACGACGCCCTCAGGAGGCGATGGTGACCGGATAGCGAGGGAGGAGAGAAAAGCGAGGGGGGGAGGGGGGGAGGAGGAGGAGGAGGAGGAGGAGGAGGAGGAGGAGGAGGAGGAGGAGGAGGCGGAGGCGGAGGAGGAGGGGGGGGAAGGAGGGGGAGAATGATGATGATGATGAGGAGGAGGAGGCGGGATTGTGGACGAGGGGGGGCAAGGGGAGAGCGCCAGCCAACAAGCAGGAGCAACTCTCCGAGGAACACAGAAACAACTCCCCAATTGGGACCTGCGGCGCAGATGAAAATCACAAAAATCGCACAAGGGAGCGCGCCGCCACCTGCGCCCGCGCGCCCATGCGAAAGCGCGCCGTCAGACGCGCCGCTGCGCCGCGCCTCGAGAGTTTGCCGGGCGCCAGCAAGAAGCGCTGTTTCTGCGCGATATGGCGAGGAGGCGGGGCCCCCTATCCACTGAGTACGAGAAACATAATGCTGAGATGACACCTGCGACGGCGACTGCGGCAACGACTGCCGACGTCCTCCGCAGCTGCGGCTGGCCCGAGGAGGCGACAGAAACGAAGAGGGTCGCGGGCGCGACGCCGCGTTGTCGAAACGCCAGCCAGCTGTCGACACCAGCGCGCCGATGCGCGCTGGCGTCGACAGGGCGATCCTGCAGGCGCTAATGCGAAGAAGTGCGTTGTCTGCCTGAGAGATGCTATCGTCGGCAAACGATGCGCTCGCCGGGGGCTCCGCGGGCGCGGGCGAACTTCAGGGCGACCCGCGCGAGCCAAACACGTCGAGGCGCTTGAAAGGCAAATGCCAGAAGGGCTCGCTCTGGCCCAGGGCGTAGCGCGCAGCTGAGATCCGCGCGCGGAGCCCGAGGCGCCATCGGGAGGAGAAAAAGGAGGTGTCCTTTTTGCCGCCGCGCGAAGTGCTGCTGTCGCTGGCGCGCCGCGGCGATCTGGATGCACTGCTACAGAAGGCGGAGTTGGATGGGGGCGACCGCGCCCGCGTGGATCGCGCGGCAGCGACGCTCCGCGGCTCCGCGGTGGCGATCGGCCAGCGGCGGGATGGTGGCCCACCAGGTGGGATAGATCGGCGTCGATAGAGGTTCCGAGCGTGTGCCTTCCTGGGCTTGATCCACGCGGGCCGCGCGGCAACCTGGGAGTTCCTCCGTCCAGCATGTTCGGGCCCCTCGTGCCCGCGAACACACGGGGCGATAGATTCGGCGTCGCACTCTGGAGTTTCCCGTCGCTGCGGGCGGGGGGGGGGGGGCACGTCCGCGCGACCGCCGCGGCCGCGCGCCGTTCTTGCACCCGTAAGACCAGGAGATCTTCAGTAGGTGCGATCGCAGGGCCCATCGCGGGCTCACCTGCGCCAGCTCGGCGCGGTTGCAGGTCGCGGGGGGATGTCCTGTCATTCCCCCGCTTGGAACTCGCCCGGGCGCTGCCTGGTACGCGACGCGCGCCCGCAGGGGGCGCGGGGGCGGGGGGGGGGGGCGACGAGAGGAGGGGGAACAGAGACGGAGAGAGAGGGAGAGGGGGGGGGGAGGGAGAGAGCGAGAGAGAGAGAGAGAGAGTGCGTGCGATATTTATATATATATATATAATATATATATATATAT